AGTCTAGCCCTAATGTCCTGTTTGTTTTCGATGCATTCCTGAACTAGTGCAATAAGTTATAATAAAAGAAAATATATTTGTTTCATTCTAAACTTACTACATTAGTTCAGAAATGCAACGAAAACAAACAGGCCTAATAATCCTTCTAAGGATTGAAGTAAAATTCGATATTTCAAAGCTTAACATTTAATCAATTTTACGCAATATCAAATATATTAACCTCCCAAGGATTTAGGTAAATTTTGACGTTTCAAAGTTTAATGATCAATTGATTGTATGTTTGTTCGACTAGCTGGGACAATTGTTATTGACGTGCCAAAATACCTCTCCGTTCTGCACCACTTCCTCGCCATCCTCGGTACGCTTGGAACGTTTTGCCTGGGGTCCGTCGACCATCACCGTCGCTCTTCTCCGGCGTTGAGCCTCCGTGTCGCTTTCCACGCTTTCCATGTTTTTCGCGACGTTGATCGACAGCTCATCCATTTAAACGAAAAGCGATGACACGCAATCCTGCCGTTTCAAATCCTATCGTCGTGATTCCGTTGTCAACAACCACTGTTCCTGCGAGATTCCACCGTTGACTTCCTCGTGGATCCGCGGTGAGACGAGCACTCCTCAAGCGATCCGTCCGCCGAGTATCAGCTCAGCGATCTCCGACACCGGATACTCCGGCGGATACCGGATATAGAAACAATCGAAAACCATGCAGACGGGTGCGTTCCACTTAATATCGTTTCGTCCTTGTCCTTGTTTATGTCGTTATTTGATAAACAACAAGGATGATTCCAACGTTCTCATCTCCAGAAGGTTCCTGTCCGTTCCCGCACTTCCCGCCAGATCGTTGACGACAATGACGATATGAAACGTCGTTCATTCAACAGTGCTCAACAAAAACGAATCGCCACAACCATCACCGATGCCGGAGACTGCAATTACTTTACTTCCGCCGCCGAAGCCCGGAACGATCCCGCCCAACCTAAATTAGATCTAGTTCCGCCGAAGCCTTATCGTGTTCCTTGCACGATCCCAAATTCGAACGTGAAGTTAGTCAATCAGAATTTTATTCTGACTAGACTCGACGTCGTGTCACCGATCACGGTCACTCCAGGAGATAGGAAACTCGGCACGATGTAGTCAAAATTGGGCCCGGTGTCCACGTCGCCGTTCATGAAAGCTTAGCAACGGCTTGGTCTTCAGCCTGCCTTCAACAATGACATACGCACGAAATCGTCGGCGGAAAGACGCATCGCTCGAAGGTAGGCGGACTGCATATGGACATGCGAGGCTTAATGTCCGAAGCTGTTGGAGGCAAAACGCGAACTCGAGGAGAGGATAGAAAACGCTCGGCTGGAACTGAACATGGGTCAGACATTGACGGCGCACAGGAAGCTGTTCACGCAGCGAGAACCCACCCCTATCGTTATAACTACGGCTTTTCTTGGACACCGAATGTCTACCAGTGTTTACGAACAAGATCCGCCATATCACGGCACCTGGAATTCGCGGAAGGAGATACTAAAGTAATCTTCTAGTTAGTTTATCCGAATATGAAATAATTACGTCGCATTTTTATCATTCTAAACTATTTATTTAGAGCATTGTAACTTAAATAAACTGCGAATAATCTGAACTATCCATAGAATACCTATATATATCATGCGTACAAAAACATATATTCTGAACAGTCTTCTGTTCATTTCATAAAATACGCAAAATAAACTTGGGTTTTGGCGCTCTATTTTTACGCCTTTATTTTTCTCTTTCAATAATACGAAACGAATAAATTATTTTCGCTTATCGCTAAAAAACAACCAAGTTTCATACATAACACATATTTCAATGCGCTTAAACTCAATATCACTTTTCTATCTTACAAACGTGAAAACATATTATTGAATCAGTAAAAATAAAAAAAATTAAAAAACTTCGAATGTTCACTAATTCAAAGTTCCTCTCTCCGGTGGTTGTAATCTAAAAAAGAAGAAAACATGTGTATTCAAAACATTATAATGTTTCTAAAATTGTTAAGTTTGTTTCACAATATTACGAATTTTGATATTAAAAAAATCTATTTATTATACAAAATAGACAAAATTAATTATATTTTTTCGATAAAAACTTCAACTTACTGATAAATTGTTAAACACAATCCTCGGCTAGAATGTGCGAGGTCTAGAAAAGTGTGTCTAGAGGCGTGAAGAAAGCGAACTGACTCTGTGGATGCAATTTAACGTAATCCAAAAGAATATCCATTATAACTCGCCTGTTTATTTTGTCCTATAAACAAGCACGCAAGGCGTTATTTCTTTATGCAAGACAAATTCAAGAAATATAGACCAAGAACTATAACGGCTTACTATGAATACATCGAATACATCGAATTCATCGAGAAAGTAGAAGGGCAGCCGAGTGCAATCCCAGAGAGCCAAGATGAATGCGACGGTCGAGTAAGATCGTTCGTTTCCCGAAAGCGATTTGGTATCGTTGCCCGACTCTTCATCATCCCGTACACTCACATGTAAGTCAAGCAGTTTATTTGTATGATCGATCACCACAGTGCCCTGGTAAAAAAAAAACATTTGTGAATAATAATTAATAAAATATGATTTAAAAAAGTGTTTTTTGTTGTTACCTTATATTGTGTTAAAGAAAGCACATCGGTGAAAGCTTTCTGCACACAGACACTATACAAGTCCCTTAGTTGGAGGAACATATTCCGCTGATACCTCACTCGTTCGATGTGTTTCTACAAAGTATATGAATGTATTGTAAAATATTTCCTCGAGTAAAATAACGAATAGTCTATGAAAATTACATAGATAATTTACTTACTTCGCAACTTTGTTTCAATTGAGCTGCAAATTCAATGTTTACTCCATACTTTTCTTCCTTTTCTTTCAGTTGTCGCCGTAATTTATCCAAACAGCCAAACTGGTTTTCTATCTCGCGAATCTTATCTCCTAACTCAGTCAGTAAAATTTTCATTTGGTTTGCCAATCTGTAAAAGACGAGACATTGAAGCAACGTAAGATATACAAATAAAACATAAATAAAAAAATGAATAATTTTGGTTATACATGTTACATCATTTTATAATGCTAACCTGGTAGTGTTTATCCTGGGACATTTTTCAGTGGCGTTGGAATCCGCCTTCTTTACCGCTGTCTCTTGTATTTCAAATTCCCCCGTTGCGCACTGTATGGCTTGACGAATTTCTTGTAATTTTCGAGTAGCACGCTGACACTCGTGCTTATGCCTTTCCTTATCCCGTGTCAATTCTCTTATTTGATCCTGCGCAAAGTATACATAAAATATTATTTATTATTCTTATTAATATTAATTATTATTAATAGAGATTAATAATAATGCATTAATAATAATGCATTCAACTGACAATATAAACATACCTTAAGAGGATCAATCACTGTGTGTAAATTGTGCCTCAAATCTCTGCATCGCTTAACTTCCGCGTCCAGAGACTCAACGGTCTTCTGAAGCTCCTGCACATTTTCAGCTAAACCCTTTTCCAAGCCACTTTCCTGCGCTATTTTCTTTTCCAAATCCGCGGTTTCGTTGCGCTATAAATAATAAATTAAATAATGTAGCTATTTTGTTCTAGAGAATAATACTTCAAAAGACAATCCTGATTACTCACGAAAACATCAATACAACTGGCATCATGCAAATCAATTTCATCTTTCAGTTCATTAATCAAATTAGTACATGCACTTTGTGTAGACCTTAGCTTGTGGACCGTCTTGGTTACGTTATTCATTTCGGAAGTAGTGCGAATTATTTTTTCAAATATAGCATTATATGCTGCGTCGACTTCCTGCTTTTTGTTTTCAGTTATTTGAAAATCTTTTTTCAGCGTTCTACATGAGAAATTAATATAAATTATTTGCATTATATTTTCTTTTACATATACAGGATAAAATTGTTGAGTAGAGTTTACTACTCTAAAGTGGATTACGTTGTTGCACTTACTGGATCATTTCCATGACCGAAACTTTAAGACATTTAGCGCGTGTACACTTTCCGCCATAAGTTCTGTAATTTGGATGGGGGTAGAATGTGTCTCCACGTAAAGTAAACGCTCTTTTGCAATTTCTTGGCACTTTCGTCATGTCCGACATTATCTCGCAGGCCTCTTGTATTGTTGGTATAAGAAGTATACACTCAATTTCACGTTGATCTATCAAGCAATTAGCTATGACAGGATCTTCTATATCCATAGCATCCAAGAGATTAGAATACTGTGGCGACTGTGTACAGTGGTGTCTAACATCACGCACCTGAAATAATTTTAAAAGACTTTAATTACACATATTGTTGAAGTGTTAAAACTAGCATTCTCTTAATTGTCACACTTGCTTGTTAGTCTTACTGGGAAGTTTAATGTAAATATTAAATATAAATATATATATATATATATATATATATATATATATATATATATATATTATTTATATACTTTTTTTGTATATTGTATTTATATTAATTTCTATTTATTCTCAATAAATATTTCA